GAAGTGGGTTCAGTATTGCCACCACCACCACCAGGGCTTGTTGCTGCTGCTGCAGCGCAGCAAAGTGGACGTGCTTGGCCTCAGCCAACAATGATACCGCAGAGTGCACCTTCAATGGTAAGCGGTGTTGAAAATCCAGCGAATGTTGATGGTACAACGCGATTCTATTTAACTAATCTTTAGAATAGGTTTTAGCCATTAATATGTTATTGTTTTCATTTTTTTCTAAGCGTTTCCTTTCAATTTGTATATTATTTAAAATTTTCTTTTAGCTGCATATTTATGTTACTTTCAAATGATTCTGTTCTCACATCCACGGTCTTCGTGATTGCAGAATAGAGAGAATGAATCAAATTGCATTAAGTCCTTAATTCTGCTTCATAATTTGGAATAAGTTCGTTTTAACACAATGACTCCCTCATCGAACATGAAACACTGGACAGACTCAGCTAGTTTAGAGCTCCTGTGATTTTTTACTTTCAAACTAAAAAAGTAATGAAACCTGATAATGGATTTATTTAAAATATTGTTATGCGTTGACCGACCTATTTCTGCGTCATGGACCATTATTTTTAACAATGGGATTGTTTAAAAAACCCTTTTAAAAATTTTGGATTTAGCGTAATCAACAGAAACTCAAGCTTTCATTAAACATAAATGTGATTCGTAATTAATCCGTTAAATTTGTTTGTTTAACTAACTCCACTGTTTGCGTGTTTTTTGCTTTGACTGCTACCTAACAATTTTGAATATTTTTATAGGTCAAAAAATTACATCAAAAATTTCATCTTTGTAGAGGAACTAATTTAACTTTCATCGAAATCCAGTTCTCCTTCTACAATCAAAATTAAGAACGTATCAAAACACATGTGGTTTCAAGATACGTTGAGAATTGCAAATTATATTTAGTAAGAAATGTAAAAGGCGTCACATAGCAAAAATACGCATAATTCATTTTTTTAGATAGATTTTTAGTTTTTACTGCTGTTATAACCGTATTTGGTGATTTTTTTTGTTGAACAAATTGTTAACTTCCATACTAAAGTTTAATTGAGAAGAGCTGGATTTAGATGGTTGGACTCGATAGATAAAAAATTAAATTTCGAATTATAAAATAAAATCCAGAGATGAATTAGGCCTTCCATTTAGACGGGTAAAATATATATTTTTTGATTTCGCAGGTCTTTGTGGTCTGCCCTTTCACAGATTGTTCTTCATGCATTCTGTATCTAATCTCTCTTGCTAATTATATTAGATCATAACATCCGAAAGTTGACATTCATTGCACCAGCTAGGATTTTTGCATGATTTCTAATGCTATATGCTGGAAAATTCTCATTAACTAACAAGATTTTGTCGTATTTTTCTGTGCTTCATGTAATTCAATTCGTCCCTTTCACTTCATTCATAATATAACAAATAATAGTCGCATGTTCCCAATAACAGCTGCACATATTTCTTTTGTATAACTCTTTAAGAGCATGTTAAGTTAAACTAAATTTGTTTATTAATGCGCATTTTCTGATTTCGTCCAGCAGGACTGTAATTTAGTGAAATATATCACGATTGTGTGTTAAACATGACCTTAAATACTGTGGGAGAACCCCGGATTCCCATCCGTAATATCGTCTAATTTACTCGTTGGCAAAGTTGTTGCTATGTTAAATTTTGTCTAAATTTTAAAAATTACCATGTCGAGTAAATAAGACAGCAGATATCTTTGAGCTTCATGATGTTTTAAAAATGTTTAGAAGTCTAAAGGGATATATTGAGCATTAGAATCTTTACGATGTGTTATGACAGAGTGATGGTGGAGTGCATATCAGTTGTTCCAATTCTTGAAATTCATGTTGTAGGTAAAGGAGGACTGATGATTAACATTGTAAAATGCGAAAGCATTATTTCTGGGCAGAAATTTCATTTTAGATGGTTTTTCAACTTGAAACTTCTTTTAAAATCTTGTAAACGAGAAGTAAGTAACTCGATAATGACTTGCTACTTAGCTATGTATTAGCAAGTAATATTACACAAATTTATCAGAGAAAAGAAAGTAAAAAACCAAGCTGACATCTTAGGGGAGAAAGAGATATTTGATTTTGCGCACTACTTATCCCATATTTGAAAATTATACGCTGTGCAAAGTTGTTCGTTTTGTTTTCTATTCATTCAATACTTTTTTGCTTTCTGCAATTGGGATATGTCTGTTCTTTGATGAGATATATGTTTACACATCTTTATGGCATGTTGTTGTTATCATCAGCTGGTAGTAACTTTGTTAGCAGTATAAATGTATGCCACGACATGCTTTGCTTTATTAAAGAAGAACAGCACAAATTTTCATACATGAGTAGGGGAATACATATTGTTCAAGAGAATAGCGAACTAGTAAAACAGATGAGATGATAGTTGGTTTTGATAAGCTTCAAATATTCTTTATCATCCAAGAGTAGTTTGGTGAAATGGAAAAAAGTAGAACACGATGGAGATAATAAATTTTGAGGCCGATTTTAGACATATAATAAATTTGTTCAACTAGAACTCTTCATCAGATTCTCATGCAAGCTATGTTCCTTCATTTTCGAAATTTTCTTTTTATTATTTGCACAAGTTTGCATGCTGCAGTTAACTTCGATGAGAGTCTTTTGCATGAATTATATATATATATAAATATAATTTACATAAATAAGTGTAATTCGAAAAAGTGCCAATGCAGCTGCCATAAGCTTTCAGTTGTGATCGAAGTGCTCGACAACATTTTGATATTTTTATAAGTGATTACAATGAAATTTCACAGATTATCTCCATAGAATTATAAATTGTGAAAGTAATATTATTTGCTCTGATAGATAATAGAGTTTTCAGATTTCAATTACTTAATTTTATAACTATTTGATAGCTGGAAACTAATTCCAATTTTATTCAGAATAACGCGACATACTTAAATTTAAAAAAACCTTAGGTAGGTGGTTATGTTTCCATGCCGTTAACACTGTATCCAAATCAGCAACCATACGTTGCTGCCAATGTCGCTATACCATACAAAGGTGCTGAAACTACCGGTGGTGGTCCAGACGTGCACAGTCAAACAAGTAGCAATGATGGTTCGAGTGGAAGCGAACAGAGGCGGGGGTATATTTTTTGTTTTTCCTCTCTCTATTTGCTTGATGAAATATAACGTATAGCAGAATTCCTGTTCCACACACAAAGAAAATCAGGAAAGGACAGTGTAATATATTTATTTATCTACGGAGTTGAAATTAAAATTCCAAAAAAAATTTCAGACGCGCAATTTTACCACCAGCGCCCATGTCATCAGTTGTTCATTCAACTGCATTTTCGTCTAATATCCATAAAGGAACGTCAGTATCCTTAGCTGCAGGTCCATCCTTTGGAATGGTATCAACAAATCGTTTGGAAGAAATGCCACAGGATTTGGCATCCAGTCGGCAAAGTTTTCGAATTGCGATGAGTCAACCTTTTGAGTTCTTTGTCGACAATTTATAGCTTTTCTGATTATTACTCGAAAAATTATTTGCAAGGAAATAAAAAAAATCCCGTGCTTGTTTTTCTTTTTTTGCTGTTGTTGGAGTTGAAATTTCTACGTTGATACTGGAAGGGGCATTTGTTCTTCGCAAATATCAATTTTCATTTTAAGTTGGAGATCTTTATGAATCCGAAAATGATTGAAATAATTCGTTCGTAGAAATGCACTCTGTGACAGCATTTTACCCTGCTATTATATGTTATAGAAAAGATTATATGTTATAAAACATACTTTTGTACTTTGTAAAATCGATCCTTTGGAATTTAAAAATAAGTTTCTTTGGTGAAATGCATTTGTATCTTTTGCAGTTAGTTTTGCAGCGAGTTTTTTGCTGGTTCATTTTTGTATTTTTTTACATCTTTTCTAATTGCAACAAATCTTCCTTTAAAAAAAGGGTCTCTGTCAATAACTTTTCATGAAATTGTTTCAGGGCACATACATATGACCCTCAAAGTTTTAATTATTGTAAAAGTATGCTATAAAGATTTTTTCAAAGATTGTTTAATTCTCGATTGCATTTGCATAATATTTTATTTGCTGGCTTCTTTTGTGTGAAAATATTTTGTGAATAGTGTTGGAATTATCTCTAATATCAAGTATCAGTGGTTGCTGAATGTTGATGGAAATTCGACTAAACAATTTTCGAAAGACTTGGTGGGAGTGAAAACTGAGACTGTTCGATCACTGTTCGAATTCATTCTTTATAATTAGTCTAGCTTTTCCATTTAGTTAATTACTCTCGTTTTCTCTTTCGACGCATTGTTCTTTGAAGTTTTTTGTTTTGATCATTTGTGTTCAGATATTTGACAGTTTTTTGATCTGAAGTAATTTTTTGTTCTCATATTGATAAAAATACTAAATTTGGGGCAAAGTAGTACACTGTGAACCATAAAAGTGTTCGTCAAAATATTGAAGCTGAGATAATTAATTGTATGATGATTATTGCAGCCAACAGCAATGATAGTAACTGGTGATTTTAATAATTGAAATTTTTTTAATTTTACAGCCTGTGTGGCATAGATCAACAGTATCGTCATCGCAAAATCAGTAATTCAATGATATTCCTTTATTGTGATATCTGCTCAAGATCTAGAACCGACATTTAATCTATAAAGTTTCAATTAATTAAAATATCAGGTGTAATATGTGGGAACCATTTCATGTCGTTTTTAGAAAACTTTCCTCAGTGACGTTAGCTCATTTTTTCAATGCTAAATAAATTTTTTGAATTTGACAATTTGTCAAATTAATAAAAATCTAATTCGCGAATTCTCAGATGTAATTTTTACTTCACATTTCTTCGTAAACTTAAGTAGAAGGAAGGGTGAAACTTAAGGAAAAAGAAATTAAAACTTCTGAAATTGAAATTTCTGTTTTAAATTTTACTAACTTCAAATAGAAATTTTCCGCCAGCGCAAACAGAAACCAAATGCGTCGACATTGATCACATGGAAAATTGAAAAATTTGTCTAATATTTTTGTGAAATAAATTTTTGAGAAAAAATTTTATATTTTGTAATTGCTAATTTTTGATTGCATTGTAAAAATTCAAACTTTCAAGCTTTGTCAAATTTTCAGAAGAAAACTATCATTAGTTGAAATTTCACAAAGCAATGAAATGAATGGATCATTCCTTTTCCGATTGATAAAAGTTTATAATTTATGCGATGATAATATCAGTGACACTAATGCAAATGAATGAATCATCACATTTTTGATTGATATAACTTCATAATTCTAAAAAATTTTAAGCACTTTTGAAAATGAAATATTTTTATTGAAGAAAAGTGCGCAAGTTACGAATGAGAATACTTACATTCAGGTGATCGATTATTTCAATTATTTAATTATTCTCATTTTTTTATTTAAATTATAATTGAAACTTTGAGAATTAAGAAGTTTGCTTATAGCATATACATTGAAAGCTTCCTTCCATAGTTAAAGTAATTCTTTTCACTTGATTAAAAATGAAGGATTGTAGTGAGATTCAAATATTAAAATATGTTATCATTTTATCAAAATGTATAATTATTAACTATATGTAATTAATTAATTATTAACTATATATAATTATCAAGTACGTGTTTAATTATTACATAAATTTGTTTATTTGTTTTTATTTATTCATTTATTTTGAAAAGTCAGTAAATGTAATTTATCAAAATCATTTAAAGCAACAGCAAGTAATAAATACTGTGATACTGTCAACATTGAAGAAAAAAAATTATTTTGAAGATAGGGAAAAGTTGAAGGTTTTAATAACTTTCATTCCTGCATGAAATTTATACTGCACGTTCTTAATGTAAGTTTTAATAACTCTCACTCCTGCACGAAACTTATATTGCATGTTCTTAATGTATTGTACAGAAAGAGAGCAGGTGTTATTTATATTTCAAACTTCTATCAAAGTAATCAAAAGTAAGATGAAGTAATTTTTACAAATTACATTTGATAAAATATTTTTCACAATAAACTAAATATGATAAATTTAAATAAATGAAAAAATGAGGTTAATGATCGATTTAATTTACTCATTGATACAAAATATATTAGCCAACATTTGTTATATGATAATATTATCATTGATCATTTACATGTTTATTTCATAATATCCTAAGCATATCATGAAATTATTTTAGAAATTCTACTGCCACAGGAATTGAATATGTGAGGAGTTGTTGAAGAATTTTTTAAAATCTCGAGAAGATGTAAAACATGTAGTAGGTGGAAATATATTCTTTGCATCTATTGCTTTGCAATTTTTCTTTTCGACAACAATAGAAGTAAGTTACATGTGCTACTTTCAACAATAATAGAAGTTGTATGTGCTATTAAAAGTTACATGTGCTACTCCTAAATTGTAATTTTACATTGTGGTTTTTACTTTATCAAAATTTCAACACCTCCAAAAAGTTTCATTCGAAACATTTAGTTAGGTAAAAATAAACTGCGATGTTTGGTGTTATTATTTTAAAAGAAATTAGTGAAAATTTATTTTGTCAAAACAAAAAAAATCCTTCGACAAATATTTTCTAACCTTTAAATAATCGTTTGCAGTTTGTTGATAAGAAGAAATCAATGTTCATCAAATTCACTTCGAAGTCTTCCTTATTTTTTTTTCGAGAACATAAATCAAATTTTCAACTTTCAAATTGCATAACATTAAAATTCTCATTTAAAACTAATTTAAACTTAAAATTTGAATCGGAAAATTAACAAATTAAGAAAATACCATTCATATATGTATCATCGTTGTTCACCTTTATTTGCATAATTAATGCAAAAAAAACGATGGTTTAGAAAAGAAACAAAAATAGAAAGAAAGAAAGAAAGAAAGAAAGAGATAAAATGTATGCATGAATTAATTTTGAAATTAAATATCAACAAATAGTAAACGAAAGAAAGAATTGATCGATTTCAAAAATGAGACCAATAAAGGATGAGCGAGCAGCGCAAAGTGTACAATTAATCATTGAAGTAAAATAAAACGCCCGCAATGAAATTATTTTAATATTCCGAATTATTCAAATATTTTTGATCATATTGAAAATAATTTATTGCAAAAGTTTATCATTATAAAATTGATAAAATTTTTTTTTTTGTTAAATAAAATAACAATGTTAGCAATGAAATTTTAAATTTATTTCTATAGCACTGATAAAAAGACTCTTATTTGATATTAACTTTATCAGTAATGAATTGATTTAATTCATTTATTACATTAATTGTTTTATTGTCATTAAATTTGCTATATATTTAATTTTCTAATAATTTTGAACATATATTTAAAGCAAAATATCGAATGTTCAATTTTCGTTTCGTTGTAATTTCTTTAAAAAAAAAAGAAAAAATAATTTGATTAATTATTTGATTAGTGATTAAATTGCTCATAATTAATTATTTAATTTGTGAAGAAAAGAAGAGAAGAAAAAAAAAGAGCAGGTTGGTAACAAAAAGAGAGAGAGAGAGAGGGAGAGAGAGGATCGTCTCTTTGTCTTTCATTCATTTTAAACATTTTTTTGTTTTAGCTAAATATTAAATTAGTGAAATTTTCAAGAATTTAATTATTGCAAAGCCAAATTTCATCCCACCAATAATAAGCCAAAATGGTTTCCACCAATAACAATTCACATTAATTATATGATTAACTTATCATTTCTAATACAGTATGAATGTAAAATAGAATTATATTAAATAGAGAAAGTAATATAAAAAATATATTTCAATGGAAAAAATTTTTATAATTCTTGAAAAGATTTAATTTAATTAAGATTTACTTTAAAATATGATCAGAGAATTAATTTTTACAAATGATAAATAATTAACAATACAATTAAGTATTACGATCCAAAAGTATTACGGTATTAGGTACGATAGATTTAGACTTAAATTTATAACGGATTGTTTACAATAACAAAACAAAATGATCATAAGTTACAAATAATATCTTATATTTGAAAATATCACTCTTTATGAATAGCGAGTCAATTAAAATAAAGAAAATATCATTTGTTACAATTAATAAACAATCATTACATATACTTACTTCTCATTTGCAAATATGCTCCTCAATAATTTTTTCACACGGTTGACAAATCACTCGACAACAATAATGGAATTTACAATTGCATCGATCCATTACTTTACGCACCTGCGTATCAAAACCACGATAGCAACACATCTAAAGATTGAAAGTGTAAAATTTTGATTTAAGTAGTAATTATTAGATGAAAATAATAATAACAGAGAGAGGGAGAGAGGGAGAGAGAGAGAGAGAGTTGATGATGATGATGATAAAGAAAATGAAAAAAGTATGGTTTGAAATTTTAAAATTTTGTAGATTCAAATTGCGATATTTGTTTGATTAATAGGTAGGATAAAAATTAAATTAAGAAATTTGTTGAGAGATATAATAAAGATATAATTAGAAAATATTTGAAATAAAGTTTAAGAATTACCAAGTCACAGCCATCAGTACCGTGTGAGGAAATGTTACAAAGACGTCCATGTGTTCCCAAAATACCATATTCCGGATCCGGTTCGCAATAATCCGGGGATGACTCCAGATAAACCTTTGTAATAATAATATATAACAATTAATTGATAATAATAGCAACGACAATTCCAACTGTCTATTGTGCTGTTTTACTTAATATCTTCAAATTACTTTACTAATTAGTAAAATGTTAAAAATTTTCAAATTCAAATTTCATTTATCAATGGACATTAACAACATAATAGAATTTGTTTTAACTACAAAAAATGAAATACAACTAATTTGAAATAATAATTTGTAAGCCAATTACTATACTGCATATATTTTTTTTAATGTGAAATTTTGTTCTCAACTAAGTTTAAATACTTTATAGTTTGCTGGAAATTACTGCAGGGATTATTTTGACTTCGAAGAAATGATAGAAAATTATAACTTACGAGATCAGCTTTAGTATGTCTTCTAAAATTAACATTTTTGCGAACCATTATCGATTTATTGTCTTCTTCAACAATTGCTACCTCTGTTGCACCATCAAATTTATCTTTGATTATCTTTCCAATTTCCCTATAATTATGCAAACAATATCAATAAGCAAATAGTAAAATGTTAAAAATTTTAAAATTAAAACTTAATTTCATAGTACTAATATTAAATTTTCATTTTTATTAAGAAAATATTTCAATCTTATTCAATTTCAAAATATTCAAAATATATTCAAAATATTCAATCTTCACAAGCCCACACAAAATTTCGGGAGAGGGAAAGAGATTTATTGATTTTTTGATCCTTAATAGAATTTCTCAGATATATCAATAAGCATATACTACAGCATTTATCATCACTGGTGATTTATCTTTTGAATACAACAAAAATAGCCATCTCAAAGGATATTTACCGAAATGCTGGCATTGATTTCCAACATGTTTTCATTTCACAGGAACCGCTTAGACCATGACATTTGCACTGCTTTCGAGTGTTTAACTCCAGCACCTGTTATAGAAAAGGAAGTAAAAGTCACCTTAATCATTTTATTTCTTTCGGCAGAAAACATACTATGATATGAAACTTTACATTTTATCATTGCAAATATCAGTTTAAGCATTTATTGACAGCTATTTTGAAATAAACAAAGGAAATATATTAGTAACCTGTCTTCCAGCATTGTTATTATGCAAATTCATAATTTTCCGTTCAATAGTTTGATTTTTGCCTCTTTCAGCAGCATCAGCAAAAGCTCTTGATACAGCAACACCGTATCGAACGTTATCCGAACATCCATTCCAGTTAAATTGATCCGTTTTTTTTAAAACACTCATATCGCAGCCACACTTATCGATAAGTCCTTTAGAACAATCCCTATAATATAATAATAATAAATTATCCTTTCTGAAAATGATATATAAATCGCTCAACTGAATACTTTTTTTTATAACTAACTAACCGTGTAATTCGATATGCAATTCCGGCGGAAGAAATAGCATGAACAAAGGCAGCTTCCCGAGTACCACGATTTAAAATCATATCACCAAAAACTTTCTTTGTGTTTAGATTAATTATTGAACAATTCCATCTAAGAAATCCATGAAATAAAATTTTGCTTTCAATTCAAACATTTAATTTATTTTGAAAAAAATGAACTAAAATCTAATAAAGTTAAATTTAATTTTCGAAATAAAAAAATTATTAAATGGGTTGAAAGTTTTGAAATTACACTAATTGTTGGATTTAATTTTGCTCATATTCTATTACTTCAAAATTTGTTTCAAATATGTTTAATCGATGATCTTTCTAAGACTTCAATTAAAAATAATAATCCCTTATTAATTAACAATAAAAAAATTTTTACAAGAGCCATTTTCAGCATTTAGCATTTAGCTGATATTATCCAATACAAACTTATTGATTGAATTTTATTTTTCTTTTGATACGACATTTCAAAATATGAATTATGATTAAAACAAACCTTCTCTGATGAAACTGATGTTGACATTCGGAATAAGCAAGTTGCGCACCGGCTCTTATGCTATCCATCTGTTCGATGTTACGTCGACAAAACCTTAACTGCAATATTTACTGTCACACATACATTTATGACTTTTTTATCAATGAGTAGAATCAAAGCGATAATAATACTAATATATGAGTGAGTTATTGTAAAGGTCAACTATTATTACAACATTAAAAAATAAAGATTTCGCTAATCATATATTTTGCTGCCAATTTGAAACTATCGTAATTGATTACAGTTATAAATTTTGAATGAAAAAAAAGTTTAATGCCATACGTTTCCTTAAAAGTCTGTCATTTGAATTATGCTTAAATAAATTTCTTATCTCTGCAAAACTTCATAATATTTAATTTTCTGTTATTTTAAAAGAATTTTGAATATGACCTGTTTGCGAGTGAGTCCATATAAATGCCGACATGACCATTGTGGATGCAATCGATCTATTTTTGAACTGGATAGGCTTAAAGCTCTAAAATAGATTTTTATTCATAAATTTAATATATGATAATTTATGTGACGATTTGTTGAAAAAAAAAGAAAAACGAAAACATCATATCAGGATATTTTAAAAGTTGAATTCATCATTTTATCCTTGAAGATAGTTTGATATAGCGATATGATATCATTTTCTGATTAAGTAAAGGTATGATATTAATTTTCTCATGATATTAATTTTCATATAATTATGATATTAATGATAGTAATTTTCTCATTAAATGGAGATATGATATCATTTTCTAATTAAGTAGAGATATGATATTATTCTCAGATTAAATAAAGGTATATTAAATAAAGGTATATATTATTCTCTGATTAAGTAAAGATATGATATCATTTTTTAAGCAGAGAGAGAGAGGTATGATATCTTTTTTCCCACAAAATTTATCAGATAATCAGAAATTTCATGTAAAAATGCAATTTTTATCTTATCATTATTGCAAAGTATACAACTTATAAGTTAAGTAGTGATAATTGAATGATATACCAATCTTATCAGTCAAAAATTACTTTATCAAAAAGCATTTATTCTATTAATAAATTTAAAAGATTAAAATGAAGCATATGCAAATGTAAATAACGGATATCAGTTATGATTATTGCCAGATAGGTTAATGATTAAATTTCTCATACATAAAAATTATTTTCTGCTGGAGGAATATATTATAATTGAAAAGCAGCATCAGCTGGATAAGAATGATAAGGATACGGTAGTTTGTAAATTATTATAAACTATGATGATGATTGTTCACTGGAGGAAGAGGAAAAGAGAGAGGATGATGAAAGAGAAGAGAGAAGAGTTGGAGATGAATTAAACTGCCTAAGGTAAATGGGAGGAGTTCTTTTCTCTTTGCATTCAGAGAGAAAGAGAGAGAGAGAGAGAGGGAGAAAAGAAGAGGGTGAGATTGTTGCTCATATCATTGAATGTTTTCTCAATAGAACCAACAACCAACAACCAATCGATTTCATTCGTCAAATGTTATCTATCATTTTGAAGGAAATTTTAAATCCACTATCCACTAAGCTATCCATTTTAACTGTCACCGTTCCATTTTATAACATAATTGAATGAATGAATGAATGAATGGTAAGTAAATGAGTAAGAAATTGAAATGAAACTAACAAAAATGAATTTTGGAATTGTTTTTTGTCGTAAATTATTATAATTAAATATAATAAAGTTTGCATGTAATATAGCAATTTGCACATCAATTCATTGTTTGCATGTAATATAGCAATTTGCACACATCAACCCGTTAATTTATTTTACAAAGTATTTCATTCATTAATAGTATCATAAATCGTTGTAAATCAATGAAATTACGATAAATTGCTGAAAAATGAAAATTGATCGATCAAAATTATTCGTTTCAAAGAAAGAAAAAAGTAGTAATTGTTTGGTAATTGTAGAAAATTTGTTAAATTCATTGATAAAGGTGTTGATAAAGGTATGTATATTCTTTTCCCTAAAATGATAAGTACTTTCTTTTAATTACATAAATTAATTTAGCAATTATGTGATAATTAATTAAAGAATGAAAAATGAAACATTTTTTCGTTGTAATTATTAATATGAAATAATTCTGATAAGCTTTATCATCGAATTCTTCCGCCTATTTTCAACGCATTCTAATTTGCATTTTTTTTTTTGAAAAAAAAGGTGGAAACATTTAGGATGGGTCGATAAAAGTGATTCTCGCTTAAAAATGTGTCAGTATGGCGCCAGCATAGAATTATTAGCTTTAAATAAACAAAAAAACAATGGGGAAAAATGGGAGAGATTTTAACACCTTTACAACATCTAACATTTTTATTAGAACAGAAGCCTTAAAGTATAATTTTTCATTAATGTTCTTTTCTTGATAATGTAAATTTAAATTTCAATCAATAAGATATCATTCAATTCATTGATATCGATGAAAAGTTTTTGTTGTTAGCTATATTTATCACTATTACAGCAATTTTAGTAGAATAAATTTTTAAGTGAAATTGTGAAAAAATGAATGAAAACAGTAATAATATATATGAATGGAATGAAATGATTCGTTTCATCAAAATATAATTAAATTTTTCTTTGTAGAAAATTTTGTGAAATTTTTATTTTTTCTTCAATAATACAATTTTTAAAGTTTCCCAGAATTATTCGAAATTCGAAATGGAATAATATGAAATCATTTATTTCTGATACATATTTTTCACTTACTCATTTAGGTAAAAATTATCAATATTATCAATAAATTATCAAAATTTAATAATTTGAACTAAAATTAATTTTTCATTCCTGGATTAATTCTCATTTCAAAAATCTAAATATATCATCATTCTTCACTTATTTTGTTGTGTTAAATGATTTTAGTTATTTTCTTATCATATTTTAATCTTTCAACAATTCCCTAAATGCATATATTGGCACTACTAAATGATTATATATAGTTTAAACCTTTGGAGAATTTTATTAAAAAAATTAGATATAAAATATATTTTTAAAAAATTAAAATTCAATATAATGGATGCCAATTATGATCAAATTAATTTAGTTAAGACAATTAAATAAGAATAAAAACTAATATTTATTAAATTTAAATTTCTGTGAATTAATATTTAAAATTTTAAATATAATTATTGCTGCTAAAACAAAAAAAAAAGAAACGAGAAAAAAGTTACAGCCATGAGATCGCGATGGCGTAATCGACAAATGGATCGAGAAGGAGTAGTAAAATGATGATATAATTCATCGCCAATTCTCGTCCTCAGCTTATTGTTGTAGCGCATTGCCCCACCGTATATGTGCGCAAGCAATAATCATCGATTGTATTGCATTCAGGTAGAAGTTGTTCAATAACCAAAGATAGATGATAACTTCTGCTATAATAAAAAAGTGGAAATTTTAAAAAAGATAAAGATAATCAAGAATAACAAATAATGGCAACAATTATTATTATTATTAATAATAATGATAATTATTAGTAACAATAATTAATAATAATCAATAATAATAATTAACAATAATGATATTATTAATTAATGATAATAATATTAATAATAATCATGATAATAGCAATAATTAGTAATTAATAATTAACAATTAATAATAATAAGCAAGTGATTTGAAATAAATATATGATAGTAAAATGAAAACTATTATCTTACTTCTTCCTTATCTAATACTTAATTTAATGACGCTTTTGATAATATAAATATTTCACTAACTGATGACTACTGTAATCGAAGAAGGGAAGGCGGAAGAAGATGGCGATGATACGAGGAGGACACTTCACTACTGGTTTATAAATGTGACAACCCAAATTTTGTCTTCTTCTTTAAAAAAAAATTTTTTTTCTTTTCTTCTTTTTCATATCTCTCATCATTGTTTGCTCTCTCATCATTGTTAGCAAAAGAGGCAACATTTTAAAAATAAATTTCCTAAAGATTTGATAAATTTATTTTATAGGCGTAATTTAATCATTTTGTCTGCTTCTTCTGTTTTTCGTTTCTTTTTTTCTTTCATTAATTTCTATCTCTTTGAAAATAATAAAAATTTAAAATAGCAATTTTAAAAAAATTCAAAGATCAAATTACATAATTTGAAATAATTAAAATGATAGTCAAATTTTAAATAAAATGAATTTCGTAATTAAATTTTATTAATAATTTAAATAAATAAATATAGGAAACAGTATGGCATACATACATATATATATTACAAGTAAACGTATAGAGGAAGTGAAAAATATTGCCATTAGATGGTATATACAAGAGATAGGGGGGCATGAACATAAATTTTTAGGCGGTCGTAAATCATCCGATGAAATCGATCTCCATGTTTGGACGAATAAATTTCCGTTAGAATTGATGATAGGTTAACGATAACGATTGGCATAATAATGATGATGATGATGATGATGGTGATGATGATGATGATGAGAGTGATGATAATGATAGCAATTATAACAACAGTATAATAGTAAAAATGATAATGATAACTACAACTAATGGGCAATAATTGTAAATTTTATTAGATGAATTACTAATGATATCAAATGTGAAGGAAAAAAACTTAGAATAAATTAATGAATAAAATGCATTTTGAATTTGAATTAAAATCAAACATATGTGTGATCGAGAATTTACAAAAACTTTTTTTCAGATTTAAAAAGTTTAAGTTTTAATAAATTATTGCAAAAGTATTAAATTTTCATTTGATAATTTTAACTTTGATTTTTTGAAAAAGATAACTGATAGAATTTTAAATTCTGTATTTCAATTGTATTTCAAATTCTGTATTAAATTATTAAATTTCATTTCAACTGTATTTCAAGTTCTGTATTAAATTCTGTATTTCATTCCTAATTAAAATTTTTTAAAAAAATTCGTTGATTCTGAATCACAGCTTTTTCTGAACAAAATATTGATTGAAATTTCAACATTTTTTATTTGTTTACTCATTCGGTATGAGATTAGCGAATAGAAATAAAATCAATAATTAGATTTGGTATGAGATTAGCGAATAGAAATAAAATCAATAATTAGATTTGGTAGAGATTAGCGAATAGAAATAAAATCAATAATTTAGTAATAATTAAATAAATTATGAATCGTTGAAAATATATAAATATATTGTTGTAAAAGAGAAACAAAATCAAATAGATATTTCAATCTTCTCTTTTTTTTTACATTTAATAGAAAGAATTTATCGATTATTCCAAAACAAAAGCAATTGTTCTTTCATAGTTCAAAATGGGTCAACCGGATTTCAGCAAAGATAAATTAACTTCATTTTGCATATTACAACATGATCTTTCTTCTTAGATCTTTAAATTTTACTTGACAAATATTTATAATTAAATTTGATTTTAAAATTTGAACTTCTTCCTATTCATTGTAAAATAAAGCTTCAAATTTGACTTACGTTTTTTCGATTTCTAAGAATGAAGCTCAATCTCCAGGAAATTTAATCTTCAGATGATTGGTCAATTGTAATACGACAATGTTGAATAATTGTTGTACATATATAAATTAAAAGGAAACTTATGCAATTTTCTGGACAGTTGACAGCAATTGATAGACATTAAAAGTTTTCGTGTAAAAGAAAAAGTTGCAAATTTAAAGCTAACAATTTTGCGAAAAAAAACAATACGATGACAGAAAATGCGAATGACTGAAAGTTTGTTTAAAATTTCGAAATTATTTTTCATATGATTGAAACGTTGGTTTGCATACGATTGATGGCGAAACTATAAGGTTTGCAGCTAATGTGTGATTCTGAAATTTGTAAAATATTTCCCATAGTTTTGAAGAAAAAAAGAGAACAATTATATTCTCTAATTGTTTTATTATAATGCATGAAAACTTTTATTTTGTTTTTTGGCAATCATACGATTATAATCGTAATCATAATCATCAATCATATTATTATGATAAGTTTTTTAACGAAATATTAATAGAAGTTATATTTTGTTAATTACAGATAACAATATGTTTATCATTCTTGCAAGAAAAAAGAGAAATTAATTTGTATAATTAATTCATTAAATTATTTATATTGGATCTCAGTTATAGAATTTATGCAAATATGATAAAATAATTTTTGCAACTTTTTTCAACATAATTCTTTTCTATTAATTTTAGCTTTTACTATAAGTATATTTGTTAGTTTTTCCTCATTTATTTCTTTGCCGTTTTTTCCTTTCATTCTTTTCCCGTTGTATCGATCTGTCGAATATAATATATTCATCGATCCATTATTATTTATCATATCGATAAAATTTTCTTGAAATTTCATATTGCAATATAGTTTTTTTTTTGTCGTTGTTGTTGAATAATGTAAATTATTCGTTTCAGAGTGTGGCAGTAAGAGCTTGAAAAATATAAACGAAACATTCCGAATTTTTAAAATTTAAAAATAGTTCATAAAGAATGGATATATTTCGTCCTGAACTATTTTAATATTTTCCTGTTTCCATGGTAACTTTCATTGCTCTGCTTATTTCCTGAAATTTAATCCTGCTAGCTGTCATCATGTTCAACTATCTTCCAATTACACCACGGCACCAATATTACAATTACTTGCAGCATTTGCAATCATATTGATTTTATAATTGTTGCAAATTTATCAGAAAATTTTGCTTTCATCCTTTTTAAAACTTCAAAATTTAAATGGCGCTGTTGTCGTCATTTTCATTTATTCCTTCAAAAATTTAAACTGTCTTATTTAATATATTCAAATTTTATTTTTGACTTTTTTAAAGATGGAACATCTTCAAAAAAAGTGCAAAATATTTTAATTTGAAATAATGTCTATCATCATGACATTAATTATTTTTGAATTTCTGTTATTTCTGTACAGCGAAGCACTTCACTGTTATAATTGCGCTTCCACTTTGCCATCTAATATTAGTACGGATGCACAACGAGCATTCAAAACGATACTTTATTCGACCTTTATGGTACCACCAGTTGATAAATCATGTATCAACTCAGATGATGTCGAATTTAGAACCGTTAAACAGATAAACTGCTCACCGGATGATCAGTGTGTTAAAATTACAATACGACGAAAAAGTTAGTGTATGTCAATGTTACATGTTTTATTTAAAATGATTCCAAACTTTGACACCTATTTTTACATTTTGTTTTAAAGGCACGATATGTGTGGATGAAATATTTCTGTTGAATTATTCGCCGCAAACATTTTAAATTTTAAATTTTTAAATTGAAATCTTCGTAGAATTTGATGTGACAGTTTTCTGATCTGGAATAAGATCAATATACTAATTATCATTATTATGATCATATTTCATCCTGAAAACAATTAAAGCAAATTAATTAAAATTTTTATAGCTTATTAATTTGAGATTTACTTACTTGCAAATATTTTAGTAATAAAGCTTCTATACTTTTCAGATTTACAATTCGTTATGCGTGGCTGTCAAACACATTTATATCGCAATAAAATGATTAGTATCAATGTGGAATGCCGTTATGATCACAGTCCTTCAATTTGTCGTTGTAGCGGTAATCTGTGTAATAGCGCCATGATATTATTATCATTTTATAGTTATATATTTTCCCTAACATTTCTTACGATTTTATTAAGTATTGTGTAACTTATGATTTTATAAAATTCTTTATTGTTTAATAAAAAATTTTCGATATAATAGTTTAAATAGTTAAGAATGAAATTAGAGAAAAATATAAAATACGAAGAAAAGAAATGAAAAAATGTAAAAAGAATTTTAAAAGGACAAAATTGCAATGTTTGCTTATTTGCATATAATTTTTAAAGATAAATATTAAATTTTGATATTTCTTTTTTAAAACTATTCGTTAATTAAATAATAAATCTGAAGAAGTAAACTTCGAATAAAATTCAAAGTTACCTTAACTAAATGAAATACCTTTTAGTAACGCTCTACAAAATGAGGCCTTCCAATTTGAATTCTAAACGTTCGTAAAAATTAAAAAATAAAAAATAGAAAAATCTGTAAAGTAAAAATGTGCCACCATTAGTAGATGTAAATCAATTAATATTTATGAAAATTTAGCTTTAAGCTAAAATTTAATATTTTACATTTGAAAAATACTAAAATAGCATACATGCCTAACACAAATTGATAAATTAGTAAAGCCTAAATATATTCAAATTTCATTTGAGAGATAATTTAAAATCTTTGAAATGAATTTTATTTGGGAAATTTCTGAAATATTTTCCTAAATGAAAAGAAATTATTTTACAAAGAAAGAAAGGTACTTTCATTTTTAATTTTATTACCTTTAATTTTGGTGAGCAGAAGTAATAAATTTCTAGTCGTTAGTAATAATTTGAAATCAATACAACTAAGTAAGACATTTCAGAGTTACTGTTATTACTAAAAGATTTTATAGAATGGAAAAGAAATTCAAATATTTCAAATACTTTAAATTTCACGAGTGTATTTTTATGTGATCAGAGATTTTGACACTTATTTTTTTTCATTGTTAACAAAGATAATGAATGATTGCTGGCAGATACTTGCACGATCATTGTTGTGTTTGTAATTTCACTTACCGAATTCTAAGGCGAGTAATATCACAATATGAAAATATTGTGGAATAATTTGCATTATACTTGATAACAAACCAAATATCATCGTATTGATAAAATTTAATAACTTTGTTTTCTCATTTCAGTCTTTTGAAGAGGCCTATGATATTCTGATAATTAAAATAATTCATTTTAAATAGCAATTTCATGCAAAAAGAATTGGAATTGTAGAAAATTAACAAGGAATTTCTTATAATTTATTCTGTATCAATTGTTTTACATTAATTACTAAGGAAGAAATAAATGAATGATTAAAATTTTTGCTTAATTTGTGATAAAAATTTTTTAATAGCTATAATTATTTTCATAATGATCCATAATATTATTGTTGAATTTTAGTGCGTGAATAATAGTTAAGGCTAAGCAAATTTGGTAATTTGGAAAATTAATTGGGAATTTAGAAGGTTGTGGTTAATATGTAATTCGTTGATTGATTTACCTGTTTAATGGGTAATTAATAACTTGACACATTTAGTTATTCTAAACTTTTCTGATGATAATTCAATTAAATCAACAAAACAATTAACTGAAATTTCTTATATAATATTGAAATCATTCAAACGAGTGAGAATAAATTATCTTATTTGAATTAATATGAAATGAAACAATCAAATTCCGTTAATTAATAATTGCGCTTATGGGTAGTATAGTTAGGAAAGCGTCTTCACTATAAAATATTAACAGTTCCAATCAAAATATTTCACTATAAAATATTAACAGTTCCAATCAAAATATTTCACTATAAAATATTAACAATTTCATTCATTTGTTATTAACAACATCAGTTGATAATATTTCGAACATTTAGATATGATTTTACTTCAGCATTACCGTAATGATTTTATTTAAATAATTATTGATAGTAAATGAGAAAGTATTAAATGAGATATAGCCATTTTCATTCTTATCAATTTATTCTTATTTCGAAAACTTCAAATAGGAAAGGAATCGTTTGAAAAACAAAAACTTGTTAACAAAATATTTTATTTTAATTTCATTAAATGATCGTATCAAAATTTAAATTCTTAATTATAAATGAAAGAGAAAATATGAGAGAGAGAAAATATGATATGAGAGAGAGAAAGGAAATCGAAATTACATTGTCTCGATGATATAATTATTATGATCAGATTGATTGACAATTTATTTCTTTCTTTTCATTGATATGAACAGAAATAATTATGATAACGGATGGAAGCGTTAGGAATAAAATTCAAATATGACTAATTCAGATCAATTCTGTTAATGTTAAATTTATTTATTGAATAGATATAAGATGTAAATTTTTGGAAGTAACATTCAAAAAAAATGCTATTCACTAATTTCATTTCATATCATATCATACTTGTTTATTTCCTATAGATTAAAAATGGATGCAAAGTTGATTAAATTATAACTTTGCATTTTGTGCAACTATGATAATTCCTGAATGAAATAATAAATTCTCTCACAAATAGCAATAAATTTAAAAAAAAGCTGTAACTAATTATTTGCTAATTTCTAGCAAATTTTAAATATAAAAATTGTAAAATGAATATAAATGAATTTTTCTAAAAAAAACTTTTTTCCATCGATACAAATGAAAAAACATTACAAAATGAAAAATTTAAGATTTCAAGAATAATAAATGACTTAAGTTAAGTAATTCTTATATTTTCGTATTTTTGCAAATTCTTTTCTTTTTTTTTAAATTGTCAATTTTAGAGGTCATTTATGGTGCAAACGAATATAAATGAATTTAGAAAAGTGAACAGACGAATTGATCTTAACAATAGAATTAGTCTTTTCGTAATAGTTCCTTCCATTCCAATCACATCCAATTTCAGTGATATTATTTCATACTATTCTATCGCATTCATTATCAAACAATAGTTTTGAATGTGTCAAATGATAGTGATTATTAATCAATCTATTATTTAAATTAGTTGTTTCCGTTGAAACAGTATCTTTACATTATAAAGTTTTACACTTCCATCCTTCCTGATAACATTTAAATGTTATTTTTAATAAAAATTTATAATGGGGAATTTTTTTTTCAATCATTAAATTTCAAAATTCTTTTTATTGCTATCTTTTTATTGCTATTAGAAAATTAAATTTTAAATTAATTCACTTCTATCGTAATCGAGAGACTAAATTTAACAATAACTTATTTCGAATTATAGTTATGCGCATGAAATTGAGAGGAGTTGAAAAAAGATGACACGAAACAATAGTTCGATATTTATCATCGTTATTATCACTGTTAATACTACCACCATTATCTTTATTATATTTTATTGCTATTAGTAGAATGTAATAGATGTGCTTATTTATTTATCGCAAAATGCCATTTTTTCAGCATTTCAAAAACATAAGAAAACGAGGAGTAAATAAATAATTGGTTACCAGAAGAAGCAACTTTCGTCCGTATTAATATCCATAATTAATCCGGAACGCATTTGAAAACTTCCCAAATCTATAGTAATAAGAATAAATGCTCTAAATATGTTTATTTTGATACGAATTCTATGCCAAATTTTATTACTACCCTGTATAACATCATCCACTATGTTGATAAATGGATTTGATGATTACAATACTGCTGATGATGATTATAATACTGCTAATGATGATTACAGTACTGCTGATAATGATTACAATACTGCTGATGATGACGATGATGTTATCAATCTTCCAGTTAGTAAATTTCCAGAACCAGATTGTAAATATCGTGTACGACTTTATAATCGAAATGGTCCGGAGTTGAAAAGGTAGTAACAGTAACATTATTTGTACATGTATTTCGTTCATCATATATCTTATTAAATTCTCATCTCTTAAATTTAATCATTTATTTCAAATCATCAAGATGAATGAAAAATAATTTTAAAATATTCCTTGCTTTCTTCTGGTCAAAGTATTTTATCTATAAATTGTTGCTACTACTAACAGCCAGCTACTATTAACATATAAGGTAACCGATGTTATTCATCACCACATGGGATTTGATAGCATTAATTTTTCATCTGTTTTAATTTAGTCGATAGATGTAATATGGGATTTAGTTCGTTGACTTCTAATTCAATTAACGGAAATATTTTTTAAAAAAAATTAGATTAACAATCAGCTTAAAATTTTTGTTTAATTAAAATTTTAAATTGGAACTTTGGAAAATGTCACATTTGAAGAGGTCACATATTCTTCCATTTTTAATTACAAAAGATATTATATTATAATTTATTTGATGTATATTATCCAAATGACCATAACAAGTGAAGAAAAAGGACTGGCCATAACATATGTTTTGAAAAAAGTAAGCCAAACATTTAGAGAAGTAAAAAAAGAGCCAAAAATTGCAGGCAAGTTGGAATTGGTGAACCAGTTTATCATCATTGGACATGTAACTATAAACAACAACAAAATGGTCTATTTTGTATTTTAGTAAATAATTGTACAATTTCAAATCCTCGACCTGATTCTTCAGCAGTTCCAATTATTGATGAATTTGGATGCTCCCTTTTTCCTATTATAATGCCGCATGTTGAATATGATGGTGATCTTGAAGGTGGCCTTCAAATGAATGTATTCTTAGTGGACATTGACCAGGTATAGTCTTAATAATATAAGTAAATTTACAATAATCACAAAACATATATATATATATATATGTAAATATATATACGATAATGATAATTTCATTGGAGTGGAACAAATCAAATTTTGTTGAAATGCTATGTAAGTGACCTTCTCATTGAGCGCTCCTATTCTCAGTAGCTCTCATTTTGAATTTCGTTCCCGTTTTCCTTCATTATTACACCATTGAGATCATGCAATCATGTTGTCAATGTTATGAATTTTAAATTAAGTTCAAATTTAAATTAAAGATGTCTTTTAGTTTTAGTTTTTAAAAATAGTAAATTCCTGTATACTTTTATTGCAATATAAATTTATTACGTTTATTCGAATGCAATTAATCAATCACTTCTAATAAATGATAAATTAAATCAGATAAATGTAGATTATTAACATGATCGTCGTGCAAATGAAAATATCATTTTCAGTCATCTATTACGTTTCACTGCGATATCAAGTTGCTGCTAAAGTTACATGGTATTTGTCAACGGCCTCTGTGTCCACCAATTCGACGATACTTTCTCCGATCACAAAGAAGTTCAATCACTTTTCAAACAACATCAAATGCGCCTTTTCAATAAATGTAACTCGAATTATTATATTTTTGAAATGAAGAGTAATCTATGTTCCTAAAATTAAAATCTTTCAACGCCTAATTAATTGACAGATGAAAATCATTTATTGAGGAGTTTCTGGAGCTATAAATGATCACATTTTCATCAATACATTATCAGTTAATAAACCTATTCAAAACACTGATGCAGCACGCGGCACATCAAAACTACAAATTTTTGGCTGGAAGCACTTTTTTTTTCAAAAAGTAAAATTGCATGTAAAAGAGAATACTCTGACAGGGAACAGCAAACTACAGAAGAAGAACAACTTACCTTGTTAAGAACTAATCATATTTAATATCATATTTCTGCTGGCTATTAGCCACATATTTGCTGTTGAAAACATATTGTGTTTCTTGTAGCTTATTATGACGATAGAGTATATAACAAAGCAAAATGAGAAATACTTCCTACAGCGTATCATCTTTAAGCAACAGACTCTTCGTTTTGGCCTTTTCTGACTTTACAAAATTTTCTTCTAAGCAGCAACGATTATTTCATTTTCATTTAACGTATATATTTCATTTAATGATAATAAAACTATAAATTAAAACAAAAAAGTAAAATCACCGAATAAACAAATGGAAGCGAACATTAAGTTGATAAATGAAATAAGATGTAATAAAAATAAAACAAATGAAAATAGTATTCCTACGACAACAAGATATACAGCATGAGTGAAAATATGCAGCACTTGTTATATACAATGAGGAATAAAAAAAAAAGAATATTTAAAACTGAAAACAATACTGAATTCATGCTAAGATACAGATATAATCAGAATTAATTAAGAAATTACTTTAGGATATCGATCAAAAAGAGTCCTTCACCTTTTGCCTTTGATTCTATTCTACTCTTCCGCACAACTCAAATGCCTTTCTCAAAAATTATTTCTCCATGCGAATTATCATCTTGAAAGTTTAGAACCAAATCACTGCTGTCCATAAGTTTATTTGAGCACATATAACAGGAAATATCACCGAAAATTTTCTCAACATCGCAGCACCAAGTTTTGGAGAAATCACAGTTTTTTGAACATAACAGTTCAAGAATTAGAGATGAACTAAATAAATATGAATAGTTGAGAAAGTGAGAATCTAAACTCAAAATGTATTTTAGAATCTTCTATCACAATTGAGAGCTGGAAAAGGCCTCTGAGCGATTCCTTCATCATTGCTGAAACAGATAAGAGATAAGCCTGAAACAGATAAACAGATAAGCTTAATAAAGATGATTTCAATCTTGAATTCAAAGTTTTTACATATAACTTTTCATTATCATTAACGGGAAGAATGACATGTGAATCCTTTCATCCTTACATTAGTGATAATAGGATGAAATGTAACCGAAACTGAAGATAGCGAAGATCTCAAAGCAGATTCTCCAGTTCTTCAGAACTGATTTAGATTTAATGGTGCAGCAACAAGATCGAAAAATGTATGAATTTTTTTGATGACTAAGCTAATCGGCCAAACGCTAGAATTCCGAAGATTGGAATTCGAAAAAAACTGGCTTACCGCATCTTTGTAATCGTTATATTCCTGTTCTGGGTTATCAACTATTTCGGCGGCATTATCTGAAAAAATGGTGACATACTTATTAATTGCCAAAAATATTACGTCTTCGAAAGTCAAATTTATCCCACATATTAAGACTATGATTTTTAATCAAGGAATATCGACCTCTGGTAAAAATCATGGCCCCCAGCAGACAAAACCTGCCATTGCTATCGAAAAGTCAATAAAACAAGGAAAAAAAATCATTCATTTAAATTAAAAATCATTTGCAATTATAGAAGTTAAAATAGTTAGAAAGTAATATCGTCCAACCTAACTCCATAATCGGCTTCTACCGTCCAGCTGAATATAATGAAATAATAAAGGACTGCTCAATTAGAAGTAATACACAATTTATCACTTAAAAGAAGTTTTGAAATATAACGTGCCAGGGATTTGTTCCTGATGATCATTTCGTTTAGACAGTCTTGAAAGCAATTCTTTTTTGGATAAAAGAGTCGGTAACTGAGGTGGAACTGAATTGCGTCGAAATTCAAGCTCTTCATTCAAATGACCCAAACGTTTAAAATGTACTTTTCCATTTTGAACATAATTAGGCTTTGCTGATCGAGTTAACTGTAAAAAAAAAGATTTAAGAAGATAGAATCTAAAAAATAGATTCAAGAAGGAACAAAGAAATTGAATTTTTGAACTTTTTCCATAAATTATCCTTTGATCGAATTTAGTCAAGAATTAACTCCAAATGATCACTATACCATAGAGTTACAATTTACTAGTGAATTATTTGTGAAGACTATATTGTGTTAGTAAGCACGTCGAAGGATAGACTTCCAAAGAACGCTCACGTTATGAGTTACTAAATTGTTTCCAATTAATTCACTCCCTAATCAGGTTGTTGAATTGAATTGAAGATGCTAGCAAAAAACATACTGTAACAGAAGAAATGTCTCTAGGAAAAATGAAAGAATTGAAGAGTAAGAAAGAGAAGGGAGCAATAAAAATAGAAACAAAATGTGTGAAGAAAAAGCGGAGATGAACTGTTTTTTCATGAACGGGGGCTCCAGTGATTGAGTGAGTGTATGTGTGAAAGAAATAAGAGGAAAAAGCATGCCGAGGTGGTAAGGCCTATACTTATATTTTGTTTGCTTAAAGCAAAAAGCATCACAATCGTCATCATCTTTTTCATCTTCCTTTTCTTCTACAGTAGCAAGCAGCGCATCAGCAAAGCATCGAACTCACTAATGTCCAATCGAACTATTATGTAAGTTCCGATTTTCTTCGAATTTCATCAATTGGAAATGCTTTAAGGGATGATACTTCTAATTTTAAATTCACAAAAAGTTAATTATCATAATAACTCTACTTCCTGTTTGATTATATTTTAAAATGAATGCCTTAAAACAAAATCTTTTATGATAATAAATATTACTTTTCGATTTTCCGAAGTTTTCTTTGTGGAAAATAAGAAAGTAATGTAGAAGAATAGAAAGTAAGAAAAGATATATTAAAAAGTCTAATGTCAAGCAATATTTTAATTCGAAAAAATAAATATTTATATTACGAAGCTTAGGTTTCTTTATTTTGTTATCTCACAATATTATGAAACATCACTGACAAACCTTTTTTCTTTGGTGCAAATAGAAATGATAAGTTTCAATTATCCAGCTCTATTTCCTAACTCATTTTCAATTTTAATTTCCTTTCGATTCAATTAAGATCAATTTCTACATTCTTTTTCACAGCTACGAAGAAGCTCAGATCAGTGCAACGTTAACACCAAGCATACATAACTACTTTAATTATGAAAAATTATGAAAAACAAATAATAGTCATGACTTTCTCTAACAGTATTCGGCAATTACTTTTCGACTTTTTTGCTGGCTACTTACTTTTCTGACACATTTTTCTGAAATATTTCCTTTCATGGCATTAAAGTAATTGAGTAAAGTCCGATTAGTTTACTTAAATTATTGGAGGAATAAAACTTTTTAAAAACCTGAACTCTTAGCCCATAGATTTAGTTGGTATAGATTTTTTGCAGGACTTAATTACTAACCATGAGGCTGATATGAATTTACTTAATCATTAATCACTAAACATGAGGCTGATATGAATTTCTATTGCGTCATTCCACACATTCTAATTCTAAATTCATTCATATTAAGTGACGATATTTTAAATTTAGGCTTTCTCCATCAAACTTTTAAAATAAATTATAATTTCAGAGAAGAAGGGAATGAAGGTGAGAAACCGCCTTACTCATATGTTGCACTGATTACGATGGCGATTAGCGATTCACCTGAACGACGAATGACACTTTCACAAATCTATCACGTATTATTTTTCAATTTCTCTCACCGGATTATTTTACAGAATTGAATATGAATTTAATGTATCTACGTCTCAAAATTCAAGGACACATTTACTTTGAATTATAAGGAAACACGAGATTCTCGGAGATACCTCTTAATCTGTCCCGCAATCCTCACATCATCTCAAAATTTTAAAGTAAACCTCATTTAAAAGAACACAAACACAAGACTTGAAGGTCCTTAATAGTTGAGTTTCGAGCAGAAATGACTATTACCTATTAAAACTTTATTCCTTTCCCATGATGAAAAACTATTCACATGTCATAAAAAGGAAAAGGGTAGTGGAGAAATCCGGTATGAATCAACCTGGATGAAAAAAGGCCTCTCCCATTATTTGTCCTTTCTCTTACAGTATATTGACGCTCGTTTTCCATACTACCGTAACTGTGATCCGAAAAGACGTCAAGGATGGCAGAATAGCATCAGGCATAACTTATCCCTAAACGACTGTTTTATCAAAAAGGCACGCGATGGTATTGGACCGGCTAATGACCGTAAGGGAAACTTCTGGACGTTATCACCAGACAGTGTTAATATGTTTGACAATGGGAATTTCAAGAGGAGGTATGACTTGTGGTTACAGTTTTTGAAGATTATTAACTTATAACATAAGCAAAGTATTTCTTGCCCCAAAGACAGAATACAAGTGGTCCTCATCAGATATGTTTCAAGAACGTCCACTGATAAAACTGAAATTCAAGAAAAAAGGCAATACTAATCCCAACTGCTTTAAAATAAAATCTATGTAAAGTGTAGCAATAATACTTGGAGTATATAATTCCGAAAGTTTTAAGCGGGCCAAAGCTGTTAACTGGGATTAGTCTTGTGAGCTCAATTATTCCCAACTAATAACAATTAGCGGATAATCGTGCAATTTATTCACCATAATGAATGATGCACAGTTTTAGCCATTCTGAAATAACAATTCGCGAAATCACTATAATTTAAAGAAATCGAAGTGCTATCTTTCTCCTTTTCTCTTTTATTCTCTAACGACTAAATACAAAAGGACGATCATGTACGAAACGTTAAAAAAGTAATTTTAAAGGCCGTCAGAAAAAAGAATGAAAGAGGCGCCAGCACGAAGTCGATTAACTTTTGCTCAGACAACTGATTCATGCAAAACACCATTCGATGACCACAAGAGCTTTGCAAGCATCATTTTGCATCTTTTGTGTTACATTTTCTAAGTATCCCATACTTTCTCAAGCATATTGCTCCGAAAGATTTCAATTGTAAAGATGGGAGAATGGAATAACTTACATGAAACTTAAAATTCGTAGCTATGAGTGTTATATGATTAGACTAATAAATGTTTTAATATCTCGCCGACTATAACAAAATCTCTTGCAGGCGACGAATGCGACGCACGACAAGATGCACTGACGCAGAAGACAAAACGTTGAATTTACAACCTTGGTTCTTGCAATATATGCAGCGACAGGCACAACAACAGGTATTTTTAATTACAATCTGAGGAAATGCTAATTAAGCTTATAAAAAAATCCACAATTTCTTTTAAGCTTATGTGATCTATTAATATTTGCTTATATGAACTTAGTTAATTATATGTTTCTAGAAAAATTATACAAACTAACAGTAATAGATATATGGCCAACTGCTAATATATTCTTTGAAAAACTGTCATTGCTGTCCCTAAAGACATTCAATTTAAATATCAATTCAGAGAAAACCATGAAAACCAATACTAAAAATTAAATCGGAAACTTTCAATTTTCGCCTCTCTTTTAAATAGATTGCTTTGTGAAAAAATAAACATTTTTCAATATAAACTATTATAAAACCGATTGGAAATAACATTTGATTTTTGAATGCTACTAGCATCCTTTCTCATAATAGTCCATTCCAGCTTTTGGTTCACCCTCCAACAATGTTCCATTTACCAGACAACTATGGACCAACAGGTAACATTTGTTGGGCTGCTCCACCAGCGCAAATCATGGAACAGAAGGCTATATTACATAGTAGTCCACCTGTAATGCCTGCAACTATTCATCCGCCAGCAACAGCAATTATTTATCGAAATCCTGATGAACTTCCAGAAGCTTGGACAAATACAGTTATTCAACAGCAACAGCAAGAGCAGTTACTTCCACCCATGCAAACATTAGAACATCCACCCCGTATCACCTATGAAAAACTAGACGAATATCCATCTTAAATCCATATTCAACAAGGTTACTAAAGAGAAATGCAAAAAAGAATGCTAGAGATATAAGAATTTTCGTGCAGCTGCTGTTTCTGTGTTTTTGCCAAATTTTACTAAACTAATACGATGGATAAATTGCTGATATACAGTATTTAGAAATAAATATCAATATCCGTAATACGCTAAGATGCCTGATATAAAAATTAAATTCGAAACTTAAGTTTCGCTTATCTCTGTTAAAAAAGATTGCAAATTTTGTGGATGAAAAAAAAAACAAAGATTGTCACCAGAACATAAGTTTGTCAGTAATGGTTCATAAAATGTTTTAGCTTTAGAACTTTTACTTTATTCAGAACTCTTACTTCGAACCAAAGATATAATTTTTAACATTAATACCGCCACTCTTCTTTCTCACTTTGATCATGATTTGAAAACCAAGACGGAAGAGACGATCTTGATTTTCAGATATAACGAAATAGTATTTAAGCAAAAAGCGTTATCATTTTCCTTGTAAAATTATAAGCTTAAAATTAAATCTATAGATTACAGAAAAGATACAAGCGTCTTTGAACTGTTATCAGTATGATAGTTTAGTTCTTTATTAGAGTTTCACTTGATAATAGCACTCTTCAGCTGATTTTAGGCAAAAATTCATTTTGAAAATAAAAAATTTCCAGTTAAACAAAATTTTCCATGAATCTCACCTGCGAATTGATTAACAGCTTCTCACATTCATTTTTGATAATCTGCAAACAAAAATGGTAACTGCTGATTTGTATGCAAACGGTGAGGATATAAAATTCTTCAATTTTTAAAAAATTTAATTGAAATGACCCCTGATATATACAATATTCGTAAGATCATTTCCGATTTAATGTTTGCAAAAAGAAGGTTGGAAAATGAATAAAGTACCGAAATGTTTTTTGCTTCCTCTTTAAGTTCTTCAATTTGATTTCTGAATTCCTTTATCTCTGTCTGAAAAAGAAAGATCAACAATGAGTGAATATTTCCGGAAAGTGACTATGAGCGATACCACCGCTACCTTTAAATCATGTTTTATTTGTCACTAGAATTATGTGCTTTTGCAGAATTTTAAGAAATATAAAAGTAAAAGCAACTTTTTTTTACTGTGACGGAAGAGTATTTGATGGAGAAATAAGGCACAAACCATTGAGATATCAATTTTATTAAAATTACTTGTTGGAAAGAAATGTGTATTACATCTTCGCAAAATTTATAGAATCATAAAAGTAAGACAAACAATAAATAATGTACCTGGCACTGGAACAAACGATTTTGAAAATTGGTACCTGAAAGTGGTTAAACAATTAAATATTTTTATTCCAAGAAATTCAGAAATCCAATCCACTTCTAAGCAGTTATGCACTTTTATAAATAAAATTTTAATATTGAAAGAAATGACAGTAAGACTTTTGTCGCAAAGACGGCAGAAAGCAATGAAAAAAGAAAGAGAAAAAACATGCCATCCAATTTTGATTCAAAGATAATGAAAGAAATTTAAAATAAGTTACCTTTTCCACCACTAAATTGTTTTTTATCACCATTAAATTGCTTTTTATCAGTTGTTACTCCAACCAAACACTTTTTTAGCGTTTCCTAAAATATTACATAAAATGTAGGAAGAAACGGAAACTTTTAATAGGATAATTAATTTTACATAATAATTATACACAAAATTCTCAGACTTCTATCCTCAGTCTTGTGGAACATACATAGCTATAGACAGTACCAAGAATCTTTAACAATTCACACCCATAAAATCTGAATTAAACACGGTATGCAAGTGACGAAGACAGAATATTATTAAACATGCAACAGAAGCTTCAAGCAGAACTAAAAAAGTAGTTGGGACCATCAAATCTTAATTGTAGCAAATTGAACGGGAAGATCTGATTGTTATAGTGCGCCTATTTCTAGAAGCCTCTCCCGAAAACATGTGAATTAATGATGGAAATAATACTAATGATATAGAAGTACCAATTGTAAAACAAATAAGATTTTATTTAGATGTAAAACTTCTTAAACTTTATTTTCCGGACTTTATTAGAAACACAAATATAAGTCGGATCCGAACAACCTTCTGAAAGATATTCACAGAGTACGCTGGCGAATCATTCACTTCATTTTATCCTCTAGTTATTCACTTCCAAAAATAAAGGTATCTTCCTCAAATAAAAAAACTGTTTCGTGTCATACTTGTAAATCGCTAGAGATCAGTAAATATTCTTACCTCACAAACTAACCATTGTACTTCAAGATTTTCGTATCTTTCATTGGTTTCTAAATAAAATATATTTATTATCAGCATTATGAACAGACCTTTTACAAATGCTATCGCACACTATCATTGTCTATTTCAGTTCATTTCGACGCTCTCTCTGAAATTTCTATCAAGTATACTCGTATGATAGCGACATATTTAAAAAGCACGAGCTAAATTAAATTAACGGGCGAAAGACATGAAATTAACAATCATAATTATAAAATAGTGAACTCGCTTGATATCAAATAAAATTATAAACATCAGTAACGCTGAAATTTGGGATTTAATTGTATAAAATGTTCTATAGCCTTAGCTTATATTAATTATTATCATTGTATTAAACATTTTTGGAATCTTTCCATTGGAGCACTCTGCAGAATTAACAACTGCTTACCCATCAAAACTTGATTATATTTAGCACGTAAATTAACCAATAATTCTTCAGCCCGATGGTTTCGTTCCATTAATACTGAAAAAAAGTGATAATAATAAAGGTAATTAGCAAAAAATTATTTGCAATGTTTTGCATAATTATGCTTTAATATAGAAAAAAACAACAAAAAATTCCTCTACATATACATCAACTCGATTTCATCCAAATTTTGGTTTAATTTTATAATATTTAAAACTAGGGTGAAAGGATGGGAAAAAATAGTGCATAAATTCTAAGCCGTTGAAATGATTGCCTCCCCAATTAAATATACTTTTAAATCAACCTAGCAACTATCCGAAACATATTCCTTAAAAAGCCCGGTGCAGTAGATTAGAGATTCATTCAGTTCCCCTCAAAATATTGAAAAGAACGCTAAACTTCGCTTGTTTTCTTCAGTTTTCTCCCTCAGTAGAGTAAATGAATCCTCTGCAAACATGCACTTTATTTGATACCATAAAATATAAAAAATTTGACTTACATTGTAATTGTGCACTCAAACCACCCGAATGTACCATTAATTTTGAACATTTATCAGACAAATCAGCAAAGTTTGAACGATATTTCTTGTACTGGGCGATATAAAGCAATAAGAATATAACTGATAAAACACCCAAAGCAAGGCGTGACCACAACACTTTACACAAATTCATGCCATATTTACAACGCTGAAATCATCGACTAAACGAGTAGGCAGAACTGCTCGCTTAATCATTCAGCGATCAATGATGATTGCACATGGAAATCCTGCAAGCGATCATGGGATTAACTATTAAACAGTCCCATCAAATATGCATTTGTTATAGTCAAGTGATTTAATGTAATTTTTTCTTGCGATGATCTAAAATGATTAGCAGTGCTAAGCAAAAATTAAATCCTATAATTATTCATGCACATAAGTCAACTTTTAGTGAAATACTCGAAAGTACAACATAATAGAAAATGAATTTCCGATTTTTTTATGATGCAAATCCGGAAGTTTTACAATATCCTAACTTGAATATAACTGGAAAAAGCACAAAATAATCACAAGTTTGTATCCAATCCAAATAATCATGAACTAATAAAAAGGAAATAGAGTTTAGGACCAAAAATGCTACGTTAACCTGAACAAATTTAGGGATAGAGAGCTGCATCTATCCACACATTTGAATGTCTGCCATGTGTGAGTTGATGCTGATGTTTGCTACCATATAGGACCCCTGACGCCGCTACTAACATTCACTCTCCGCGGCATGTCATGAGAAGTGGACGGAGGAGAGATCACGAGATAGTATGCAGTAGTTGGCAAAGCTAGATGAGGAACAACTGCATGTTGGGAGAGCAAGAAGAGTGAAAGGGATGAAGCGAAAGATTGGTCGATTTGGTGGTCCGTTGAAGGAGGGCGAGTTGTGATGATCGACGTAGTGGCTTTTTTATTTGCTTGACTGAATTTGGAAGGGGAAGGATTGCGATGTTGCAGGTGAGCGTAGCCAGAGCTTGGCCAACTTATGACCAGCCAACGTTGAAGTATAGGATCGCAGAACAGCGACGCCAAGATTGCATAATCGTTTCAGCCGTCATTCACCATATTTCAAGATTGTCATAACGTACGAGTTTTATTCCCCTCAATAACGCTCACATTAGCACAAGAAGAGTTGATTAGCATGAGGTGCACTATATTAATTTTGGTAATTGGTAAGAGTGATTTCAAGGAATGATTTGATGTTAGGAAGAAAGGTCTGTTCTGTGCTGCATTCAACACTACATTTTATCGCCACTTCTCAACCTTTATTTTAGTGTCGACGATTGCTTTTTCATAGTAGTATTGTTATCTGTCACTAATTTTATTCTATTTTCCAACAGCTTTGTCGATTTTCTAAATTTTATCGTAGAAAAGGAATTTTATCGTGGAATAAGGACTTTACTCTTCGCTTTTAATATAATGTGTGCTAAAATTGTGAACAGAATGCATGAATACTGCATCAGATTTTGCATTATCACTGGGACTGTGTAGCAAGTATCTTTGTGCTTTTATGTTTAATTCATTAGATTTGTGATTAGGGAACTGAAACAATGAGATATTAATTTTATTATTTTCTCATTGAGCCGATCCTTATTTTATGAAATAGCCAGAATTCAAAAGCATTCATAGAAAGTTGACTTGTCAGGACACTTCAGTTGGCAGTACGTTGTGGGAATTTTATAAGGAGAATATTTGTAGTAGAAAATAGAGAATTTTTTTTCGAATGGTTTCTGCAGTTTCATATTTTGATCCACTACATTTTTAACGTTGCCATCTGTATGATGGGTTTGCAGGTCTTGGACTCTCTAGCAATATTGTTTTTTATAATGGTGACAACTCGCTGAAGCATTGATCATAAACTTAAACTTTTTCTACGACAAATTTTGTTTTTCAAAGACGATATGTTCACTTATTTGAAGGGAGCTATTAAATTTTCCCGAAATATGCAATTGAAGTTAGATTATGATATTTTATTTTACAAAACATTTAGGTCTAGAGAGACTTATGACAGTACTTTACAAGTTTTAGATTTGATGTTTGGGGTTCGGATTTGGAAGTGTTATAAGCAACACGTATTTCTTTTTTTGCTGTCGTCAAAGAGACAAGATTGGATTAATCTGTACAAGTTCCGTTTTTCTGTTGTATTGTCCCAGTGATTACTATATTTTCGCTACAAACACACAAAGCAAGAAGAAAATAGAGAAAAAACGTACTGCGACTTACTGGAATACAAGATAATACTTGTTTTCTCAGCCAGTAATTGTCACCCGATAATGCTGGTGTCGAATCGAAAAACTCGAATTTCGGAAATCAGCGCTATATTTGAATCGTGAATATTTGCATTGTTTGACAGTCAGTGGTCAATACACGTCAACACTTACGCAGTCAGTGCAAATGGTCGATCAAGTTCTGAAACAAAAATATCTTTTGGTCACAAATGATCGACAAAAAAAGTTTATAGAGAGCTTAGATTTGAAAGACTGTCATATAGCAATCACTCATTCATAACAATCAGCATTTTGAACCGCTGCTGTTCAGCATACCGTTTCTTCATTGTGTGATGTAGACATTTGGGTCTGACCAGGTTATGATAAGCTAGGATTACGATAAGCTTTGATTTTTGATAAAAACTGTTGTAAGAGATTTCTTAAAAGAACAGCAGCAACATGATAATAGAACCCACTTGATGCGCTATGTTGAACATGGTTAACAACTATTTCTTGACTATTCCAAAAGTAGATGTTGCTCTTGTATCCTCATCAGATGCGGAAACAAATACATTATAGGACTGTGATTTTGCTGGACTTTGTATTTTTTTGGTGAATGAATAACTTTCATATAAGCACCTAATGTAATTATGCATCGTGCAGATATAGATATTTTTGTCGTAAACAAATGTAAAAAAAACAGTTGTGTTTTGCAGAATAATACCATACACATGCGTGAATATATGATTGATCGAGCTCGATGAGCAGCAGCGGAGGTGTATTGGCTGACCGTAATCGACTTTCATCTCAGTCATCAACATCAACTTGTCGTAATTCGCTAATTCCTCCTGAAAACGTTATCAACGAATCGGAATTTCCATCCTTAGGGGTACGCTCCTCACCCTCCTCAACGTCCTCTGCATTTAATTCCTTGCCAACCACTAGTAATTACTCCTCCTCACCACCTGTACCACAAAATCATCTTTATTCAAAAGACGTCTACAATGCTCTACAACGAGCTCCTTACGGTAAGTTATTTTATTTAAAAAGCATTCAATAATTAGGGGATGACAGTGTCTCACAACCATCACCACTGGAAGGTAAGTTTTAACGTATAGCCGATATAACTCTTCAAATGAACTTACCTGTTGTAAGGCAATGCAATAACCAACTACTAGAAATATTATATTATTTAGCTGCATATCGATGATATCGAAGTGCTGTAAGGAATGCTTCACTTTTTCTCTGACTGTTAATTATGTCAACTATCTTTTAATTGGGATGCAATATAAATTGAGCTTCATGCATTTGCATTTCAATGAGTTGTGGTAAAATCCCCTCTGTCAAGAAGAAACAGTAATAGAGAAGTGAAATTTGTGCAACCAAATATACGGATACCTACTATTCTGTGATGGAAGATGCAGAAAGACTTGGATATAGAAATATTTTGACTTGATAGATAAGATACAGATACAGATACAGATACGTAGTAATGGATAAAACATGATTTATCCAAATATTTAATTCTCTTTCCCATTAGAAATGTTTTGAGACCGGGTAAGTTGAAGATATATAGAAGATTCGTAAAGATTGTCGTAACCACTCTCTACAATAGAAGAGTAATCTCCGAAGACCTCCTCGTACTTACCTCACTCAGATATATAAACCTGATGGCACTGAAAAACTGTTTTCTAAAAGAAAGGTTCTGTATTTTATTTTCTGTTTCAATCGGAACATTTGATTATTCAGTTACCTACTGTATGAAGATGCTAATAAAAGAATGCCTTTCCTGAAAAGCTGAAGCTGCAAATAAATCCATCTCTAAATATCTCATAGTTTTTTGCCATCTAATAATTAAAAATTCATTTAAGTAAGGGAGAATGTACCCTATTATCGAAGATTTCGATGCGAAATTTGGGTTTGATCTGAAAATTTTTTTATAGAAATAAACTCGACAATTTGGATCTAGAAAGATTAGGTTTAAATTGGTGGCATGAGGATCTTAATAAAAAGACTACCTTTAAATGTTTTATGTATTTTGTCAACGTTTAGAATTTTTTTCTCAATCAAGTATCATACAACGATCATTTCCTTTGGAATGATATCTCTTTTTTTGTCATCATCGTTTCTTTAGTCTAATTCAAGAGGCAAGGTTTTATGCGGCTATGTCTCGGCTTCCGAATTTTCTCGGAATTTTTTTTTTCTTAATTGAATTGGGAAATGATTAGGACATCCACATTCTGAGCTGGAGTGTGTTGATAGGAGAGAAAGGAAGTTTACTTAGAAATTGGTCAGAATTTCAAAAAAATCAGTGTCATGTGCCGATTATTTATTTCATTGTGTAGAGCAACAGGGTGCTTCGGAAAACAGATGGAAACTAACCTCGAAACTCTTAGACTTCAAGTAAACATTTGGTTATCGTAAAGAGGTTTCTAATAAAATTTCTCCAACGAAACTTTTAATCATATGATGATTTCGAGAGTCGCGATGTTTGCAGCGAATTTGATGCGAACAAGTGATGGGAATTCGCTATCGACACAGAACGTCGAGTTCCGTATACAAAACGAAGACTTTCCTGCGCTACCTGGTGCCAGTCATCTGGAGAATAGGCAGACTCATGTAAGACCTGTATGTACTTCGCATTATTTTCAAGTTTTTCATTGACTTCAAGCGTAATCGTTATTCCACAAAGCAAGCAAGATTAGTTTATATTTTGACTTAGTGGAAGACTTTTGTTTTTGTGGTTTTTTTTTGGTTCTCATTTTTATTTTTTAGCAGCATTTTATATAGAAAGGATGGTATAAGTATATTTTTCCGTCAGCATTCGATTTTTTCTCCCCTTCTGCCGTAAAAAATTTGACCTCGAAATGGGAAATTAAGTACAATAATTACAGACAAACAACGCCGATGCACTTGCCTCAGAAACAAGGTATTCCGAGAGATCGAATACTGAGACGAAAGTAGGTATCCAGACATTTCCAGACGGTTAGTTTTTAAGTAGTTTCCATTTTAAAACATGTATTAATATGGCAAAAAAAAAAAAAAAAAACTAGAACTAAAAAACAACTAGGAAAGAAATTATATATATATGGCCTTATTCCTCCGTTTAGGATACCCGTTATTATTGGAGAATAGTGACTTTGAGATATAATACACGTCCGAGATAAACGGCTGTTGGTGAGTACAGTATATCATGATAAGAAACCTGTGAAAAACGGAATCTACACAGGACATGATGTTATGCGTTGTAATGGTTTATGCAGTCATGTTAAATATAAAATTCTGAAATATTTTGTCATCATTCTAAGAAGTTATAGGCACAGTGAAGAATATCCCAGCAGGAATGTTGAGTGACCAATTTGGTATGGCTGGGTTGTTGACGTTTTTGCGCGCAATTGAAAGTGATCCTGCTATCGTTGCACTTGCTCTTGGTCATGATTTGACAACTCTGGGACTGAATCTGAACTCTACTGAGTAAGCTGAGTTTTGAATTTTCTATTGCTTTTTGTTGGAATGCGTTTTTTCAAAAGAAATTCAATGTTGATTATTTTTTTAAGATTTTTATTCAGCATTAACACTGTTAAAAACTTAGTTCAGTTATCATCTACGTCTTTATTTCTTAGAAGCAGACCAGTTTGTTTATATTGCTAATAAGTATTCATCTTCGTTTGAGCATTAAGGTTCAGTTGAGAATGCTTAGAGGATGTTGAAATTCCTTCAACCATTAAAAACCGTTTTTCTTGGGAGGAAGGAGTGCAGATAACTCTTCTTAACTTATCGTTTTTGCGAAGGAAGTGAGGAATCTTGATCTTAATTTTGGTTCTTTGCAAAACTGTGTAAAATATATTAGAATGTGGGATCAAATATCAAAGCGGAATTTAGGTGAGTTTATTGCTGAGAAATGAGTTTGCATAAAGTTTAAATATTTATGCCGAAAACATTTTGAAATGTGAGGTCTCTTAGGTAAGAAGGTAGATCTGGTCTTGACGAATTTATGGTTAATCTCATCGAATTATTTACCCATTAGTTCCAGGCGAAATATTTACGCAACGTTTGGAGGACCATGGGCAGATTATCCGTGTCGGATACAGGATCTGGAAGCAAAGGCTGGTTTTTACGATTGGTTGCTTAAAAATTATAATTTTAGGGCATTCCATGTTGCATTAGTTTTTATAGTTTTGTTTTAGGATTCATAGCTGTTTTGTACATAATTTTCCAAGTATTTCCACTTTCTATACTCATTTTTTATGATCTGAAAAGCATTTCAGGTGCCGGATGAATATTTGACGAATGCTTCGATTCGAGATAAGCTGCCGAATATCAAATTGAGCAAGCTATCGGAGGATGTATTGTTCTACCTCTTTTATAATTGTCCGGGCGAGGTTTATCAGGTCGCTGCTGCTAGTGAGCTGTAAGTCTTAAGTTTAAATAAGTAAGGAATAGTCGGTTTATTGAGATTACAAAATTGTGCGGTCATCTAATACAATTCATTGGCAATGGTAAATGTTTCTTGCCATTTACGGCTGCGCAAGTCCTCAATTCCAGTTGTAATACCATTTCATTGAATTTATCTATTGGTATATTCGACCATTTAAATTTTGTGATTATCATTTCTCTAACTTCCAAATTTTCGAGACTGTGCCTTCTGCCTTTATTAATTAATTCATGGAGATTGACCAGTTCTTATTTTTTTTGTTCTTAACTTTGAGATTATTAAATCTTGGATTTGCATATTTGGATACTTTCCTGTTTTTAGGTATAGTAGGGATTGGCGGTTCCATAAAGGTCAACGTGTATGGTTAACGCGATCGCAATATGGAGGTGTCAAGGAGCAGACATCAACATATGAAAAGGGGTCCTACAATGTTTTCGATCCTGTACAGTGGCGAAAAGTAAGTTGATTTCCATTACTTGGAGATTTGTTAGACGAAAATGTATATTAGTTATATTTGTTTTTATTTTGTCAAGTTAAATTTCTTAATTGCTTCGGATCTACAAATAAATTCGAAATTTTGGTTTCATCTCACTGCCTGGAAGCCAAATTACTTAGGGCAACTGATAGTCTAACTAGCAATTAGATCAGAAAACACTTTGGTAACATTCGTAGTTCAGGTGGTAAATGTTTCGCCTTGCCTAATTTATCCTTAGAAGGCTTTCCTTAGCGACCTTGGCAATATATTCAATTTATAGGATTTTAAAGGATTTGAGCATCGATGTTGGTCCTCAACCCTACGCATTAAATATCTGTTTACCTCAAGGAACTTTTACGCCACTCTTATTGGTGTTTCTTAGTGCATTTTGAAGTCTTAATCACTTCATTTTAGATACCAAGAGATATGACGTTGGAGTATAAAGAGCTTGAAGAACGACCGAAATTGCCTCAATCCTTGCAGCAGTCAGGTCAGCCACAAGTTGCGCAACCACCCTCTACAGCCTCGTCCCAAAATGGTTCATAGTTGCCAACCTTCTTAATGTTGACCAATCACTGATGTTGTACGCATGCGTTCCATTTCCATCCCTTAGCCATCTCTTGTAAAAAAAAAAAGTTGTTCTGCTGCATGCAGATTTTAAAGACTTTATTTTTTTGAACGAAACACATCGTAAAATAGAATTAATTCTACTCAACCACTTATCCCTTTATACAAATCGAAGAAACAGGAAGATTATGTTTGAATCCGAAACTTTTTTATGTTTTCTTGCTATGTTGTTATTTGCAATAAACACTTCGCATTTGATTTGCTATTTTGCACAGTGGTGAAGGAATAGATACAAGTTTTAATTAGAATAAAGTAAAAGAATGCTTAGATTTTGTGTTGGAACATTTCCACTCAACACTTATCCCCAAAAATTGTTCATTTTATTTTGATAAGAGAAGGGCAAAATTTGCGTACTCCAGGAAATGTGATTGCTTCATTTATACCTCTATGCGTGTTCTGGTGTGTACTAAATTTACGGTTGGATTTTGTGTGAGGATTAACTTGGCTTCTAAATGGGCAGATAAGATAGCTCGTTAATTTGTAAAATTTGAGGGATAGACTATCATTATTGTTATAAAAATTAGAATATATTAATATGTGGTATTCGAATCATTTTATAATTCAGGATAACAGTATTTTCTAAAATGACTCACGTAAAAGACATCATTATTTATCGCTCTTCAAATATTGCAAAAATGCTATAATAGCATTTTATGTAACGATTGTGCAATCAGCAATTTCATATACTTTGAAAATAAAACATTAATTGCTAGGATTGGAATCAAAAATGTTGAATGTATATTGGAAGATAGCAATATGTCATTGTATGCAAATTTCATGCTAATATGGAAGGAGTAGTTATGCATTCGCAAGATTAGCTGCTGCAAATAATATAAAAGAAACAATCATGCAAAAAAAGAATCGATCATCATGCATGTAAGCTGTTGCAAATTATATAGAATAGTCATGCATTCGCAAGACTAGCTGCTGCAAATCATGTATTCGCAAGATTAGCTGCTGCAAATTGTATAGAATAGTCATACATTCGCAAGATTAGTTGCTGCAAATTGTATAGAATAGTCATACATTCGCAAGATTAGTTGCTGCAAATCATGCATTCACAAGATTAGCTACTGCAAATTAATGCTAATATTATAATTTATAAGAGGTGATATTTACTGCTTAATAAAAGCCATTGTTTTCTAAACTTTTTTTTGCCGGGAAATTTCTCCTAAAAACAAAATAATAAAGGAAATATTCATTCATTCTCAATTGTAGATAAATAATCCTTCGAGAACAGCGGTATTTCTTTCTTTTGAAGAAATAATCGCAAAAGATTTCTTAAAGTATCAATGCATTCATTCATTGTTACTTTGAAAAAGTGACGAATGTTGTTGTTTCTATAATTTTCAATCATTTTGATTTTTCCATTATTACTTATTATTATCACTTACTCTATCATCGTTATCATACAAGGTATCGTTTTTATTTTATCATAAATTAATTTTGATATAATTCATTAATAGAATTGAAATTAATTAATAGTCATAGCATTAGAAAATGTACTATCATTATGGCTTATTTCTTTTTAATTAAGTAAAGCAATCAGAAACAGAGAGAGAGAAGAAAAAGTAAACAAATTTTTCATCAATCATTAATTCCAGAATTTTAACAATCTCTGAAACAATTTGCAGATTTCATAAATAATTCAAATTTTATTTGTTGCATTTCATTCTTGAAATATTACATTAATCGACGGTAGTTGGTGGCAGTGGTCTGTGGATGAGAATAGCGGTGAATAAATGATATAATAATGTTGGCTTGGTATTGAAATTGATGGAAGGATATTTTAGAAAATTTGAGTAAAAAAGAAAATTGCTAACATTTTTCTTTAATTTGAACACTATAATGATGACCTTTTTGAAGAGATCAGATCATGACCTTTTTGAGGAGATTCAGATCATTTTAAGTGTAATTTGGGTGATTTATTTGTAAGATCAGAAGTGAACTTTCATGTCTAGCAAAAAGGTTTTTGTAATGGAAGTAAACTTTTAATGCTTTCAGTAAATTTCTCCACGCATTTTAAATAATGGAAGAGAACTCGGATCAAACATCGCAGGAATCACCGGAGAAACCCGAGTTTCATTTGAAAAATGAGGATTTTCCAACGCTACAAAGTACTACACGATCTAGAAAAAGTAAGAAAAAGTCAGCTAATATTGCAAATAAACCAAGTAAAATTGTGGATGAGCCAAGTGGAGTTACAAGTGAGCCAAATGGAATTACAAATGAGCCAGGTAGAATTATGAAAAGATCAGGTGGAATTATAAATAAACCAAATGCAGTTATGAATGAGCCAACTAGAATTATGAGAAAGCCAAGTGGAATTATGAATGAACCAAGTGTAGTTGCAAATGAGCCAGCTAGAATTATGAAGAGGCAAAGTGGAGTTACAAGTGGACAAAGTCAAATAATGAATAGGCCAACTGGAATTATAATGCCAACAGCAGGGACTTCATCTATGCAGGTTCCTCTCTCATTTGCATAAGTTGTTATTTTATAAGCTTTTTGAAAATAGCGAAATCCTTCTTCCTTTTCCGCTCATCATTGGCCCGCCAGGTTAATTAGCAAAAATTAAAGAATTACAAATTGATATATAAATTTTTTGCAATCTTATTTCATTATCTAAAAGCTTAAATTTTATAAATTATGAAAATAAGTGAAATCAGTTCTAGGTGTATAATACAAATGTTGGATTTATTCCTAGGCGACCTGGACCGTATTTCCTCGAATATTTTCAACCTATACCAAGAATGAATGTACCTATATATCCTGATGGTTTCTTCATTTCTTGTATTTCTCTTACAAACTATCAAAATGCTACATTTTTCATTTGAATATTCGATATTTTGTTCATTTATCAAAGTAATTGTAACTATATGTAACTAATTATTTATTGATTAGTTATATTATATTAAAACTAAAAAAGGTACGGCAAAGAATATTCCATCATCAACTTTGATGACTGATCAATATGGAATGCTCGGATTCTTGTCTGCTTATCGAGGAATGCAAATTCATCCCGCATTAGCAACACTTGCTATTGGTGAAGATCCGGCAAATATGGGTTTAGGCATGAATAATCGGTAAATTTATTGATGAGATTTTAGTCTAAATTAAATTATCGAAGTTTTTTTCCTGTATTTACCAATAAAATGAAAATTTGGAACAATTGCATGGAAAGGATGAAAGTTTAATTTAAATGAATTGAAAGAAATATATTTGAAATGTTCGGTTCGCCTAAAGTAATAATAATATTTTTTGCATTTATTCTAAAAAAGACCAATCCATGATCATATTTTTTAGCGTAGAAATATTTCCATTGTATTTTTTCCTAATTTTTTTAATTACAATAAAATATAAGAAAAGTTTTCATTTGTCTTCTTTTGTTTCAGGCTTGTAGTACGCAATCCAAGTGGATATGGCAGGTATATCAAATGGATAATTAATTAAGAGATAGATGATTAATAATGATAATAGAATGATTTAATAGCAAAAAGAAAGGAAAGATTAAACGATCTCATTCAGAAGAAAAAAGAAATAAATTGTGGAAAAAATTTTGAGATTTGAATTTTGAGAGATAAGACGTGAATTTTGCTCGATTTAAATTGAAAATATATCATTCATCGATTAGTTTTAGACGTGAAATTCATGTAAATTATGGAGGACCATGGGCGGAAATGCCAGATTATTCAGCGCATGCAGAGACCAAAGTTGGCATTTATGTTTTAATGATTATGATTTAGAGAGATTGAATTTAGCTTGTCTCCTTAACAGCTGCTAAAGTGAATAGTTTATCGAGGTAGAAGATCAGATGGAATCGAGCTATTAGAAGCTTAACTCTGATATTTGATGATAGCCATCGTAGTAAGCCTCTTTCAGGAGGGCCCTGAGTACGATGATATCAGCGTGTTGTTATACTTACAATCCGGCAAGGCGACACTGAACGATTACTAACCTCACAATCGGACAGCTGTCCTTACTATCAACACGTCTGATATTGATAATCATCACTGATCCAGTTTTTGTTCCTCCTCTCTCTCTCTCTCTCTTTTTAATAACATTATCATTCTTGTTCAAACTATTATTTTGAAGTAAAATTACTATAGATACCGAATGAATATAGAACGAATTTATTGCTTGGTGACAAATTAGCACAACTGAAATTTTCGATGCTAGAAGAGGATACATTATTTTATATCTTTTATAATTATCCCGGTGAGCAATATCAAATTGCCGCTGCTTATGAGCTGTAAGTGTTTTTTTAAGTTTAATATTTTAGATAATCTGAGTCTATTTTATCGATCTTCTTTTTATTACAAGTTGAAATATCTTTTTGTTTTTTTTAGATATATGAGAGAATGGCGCTATCACAAAATGGATCGCCTTTGGTTAAGGCGTTTCGACCACAAAAGTGTTGTTGAATATACAACCACATATGAGAGAGGATTATATAATGTATTCGATCGATCTCGCTGGAGAAAAGTAAGATATATTATATACTTATTTTGCTTTATATGTTTGTACGATGAACTAATTAATTTATTTTAATGAGTTAATAGCGAACTAGTAATGTAAGCACAAACCTCTTTCTCGTTATTGTTAGATCTCGATGGAAATAAATAGTAATCAAAAAACAGTAAATGAATAAGAAGTAATTGCATCTTCATAAGTGACATCAACTCGATTTTCATGCTAATTTTGTATTATTTCGGCGATCGTGCAAAATTTGGGATACCGAATTAACGTTTGAAACACTTCAAATGAATCTAACTCACTCAATCCTTGAAAATTTCTCATTCCAGCTGACGGTGAGGACGACGTTGTTATACAAAGATCTTGAAGGCAAACCAATATTGCCACCAGATATGCGGAAATACTTTGATCCATAAGTTATACCCTCTACCTGCCGATCATAATTGTTGACTTGTTTGTTGATACCATGTACATGCATTTCTTTGTTTCACTGCTTGTTTTGTTAAGGAACAACAGTGTGTGACACAATTTATTTTAATAACTTTCTTTTCCATTTTGAAAAGCTTTCAAAGAATACAGTTGTTCCCTATCTAAGCAATAGCTATAATCATTTTTTTGCAAAATTTGTTCCGCTGTCATATTATTGCATGCGATAAATGCAAAGTATACAGCTTATTTGTTTTATGTAATAATCCCGAAAGATGAGTGAGGAATGGTCAGGGGAAGTTACACTGACCATAGTATGATCTACTATATAAGGAGGACTTTGGTAGTTAAAACTGATAATTTTACATTCATTTCTGATTTCTGTGTCAATCTTGTGCTCCTTTATGCAACGCAACATTCGATCGAATGAAACGGAAAAACTGCCAATACCAGGTTCAAATGTATGTGACGAAGCAATTAAATCAAAAATTTCAATATTCTTTTCTTACTCGAAACAACAAAAACAAAAGAGGTATGCAAAATAAACATGTCAAGTAATGTACAGAAATATGTGCAAATCGCCGTTCAACCTCAACTGTGATAGTAGGCACTGGGAAAGGGATAGTCAGGATTCCTGAGGAATAATCGAAGTGACAACTTCTCCATGAAGCGGTAATATAGCTTGTTATCTGTCCTAATAGAGTGCCTTTTAAAATATTAAAAAATATATGCAAAGGTATTTTCATAGGGTCAGTTATTCCCTCTATTGATAGATTTTTTCAGCGTGTCGAAGAGACAAAAAAAGGCAGTAGAGACAACTGAGGAAATGTGAATTCTTATCGTAATAACATAGTGGGTAGCATGACGACAAAAAGCTTCCTGATAAACAAAGAGTCTTAGGTATACAGGAGCAGTCAATTGTGATTGTGAAAATGACATAAAACCCGTCGACATGCATGTAGACCTAAATGTCGGTGTTAATTTTAACTGAAAATAGAAACAAAAACACCAGCAGAAGCAAAAGTTACGGACTACAGAAATCGTACAAATTTTGAAAATTAGATACACTCATCAATCTTATTACCTTCTGTAGTACGAGATGAAAACCGAAATAACATAACTAACATTCATTAACAAGACACACAACGCAAGGTAAACATTAATTACAACACGTGCTTCTTTTTTGACAAGATAACAATTGAGAATCATGCCTTTTTATCCATTTCAACCATGAAGTTCGCATATCCTATTTTCTTTCATATCTTTAACTACTTAAATTAAAATATCCAAAAAAAAAAAGAACAATAATTAGGAAATGAAATACGAATTGCACAAAGATATGAAGGACGCAGAACAGTTTCAGCTAATACTTTTACATTTTCAAAAAAGAAAAATTTAACCTCCACTAAGGCATTTCACAAAGAATTTTAGCATAACAATGAATCAGTTAACCAACTAAGCAACCAAGAATCAACCAATCAATCAGGAGATTTTTATGAAACTAGACGTAGTTGTAACATAAGTACACAATGTCCTACATGAGATCTTAAGCTAAAAACAAAACAAAATAATCTGTTATTTATAAAAAACCAACTCAATACTTTGCATATACAACGTCGGCTGTCGAAAAATACCTAATCTGAAAGACATGAATATATTAGCAAAGGGAATGAAAAGGTAATTTTGATTTCTATATATTATTGAAATCAATTTCCATTTCATCATCTGCTCACTAAAAGAAATGAAACACGACTTAATAGTTTGTTAACTAGACAACAATTAGCCTCTGACCACTTTACTAACACTGTTTTAGCATGTTCATGTCTTAATTTGCTGCTTAAAATAATTTATTACTGGGAGCACAAGTGATGAAAGCAAAATTCCAATCCTTTTTCGCTCATCCTTGAATCCCTCAATTTAAATGAAATATTGCAAGAGCAAAATTAGAACCACTGCGAACCTGCAAAAAACTTCCATCTCAAGTCAGTTGGCAATCAAGTGATTAGCTACCATCCGTAATGGTCGTATCCACAGAATTTGTACAACTTTTTGCACTAATGAAAGCACTTTTGATAAGTGATTTTGCATCCACTAACTCCATCGTATCAGGAATAACCTAAAAATGCTTTATCAGTGCTTACCTCGGCACATATCAAAGTCTTCAATGGTAATCTTTCACGCATAAACAGATTTACGTATAAACGCATAAAGAGAAAAAGGTATAAAAGTACTCTTTGAGCTTCATTTACCTTCAAATTTCAAACTGTGGACAATAAAAAGAAAGAATTTAATCCTCCGAAAACATTAAAAATGAGGAATATGTTTTATGCAAAAACTATTTATTAAAAATGAACTTCAAGGGAAAACACCTAGGCATAGCTTTTGATAAAGTATAACTTCCGAAAATTTTTTCTAAAAACAATTTCTAAAGAATTAAAATCGTTTTTTGACTATCGAAATGCCGAACAAATCTAAATTGTTTACTACCACTAAATTATTGCTAGTTAGATCTTTTTATCCGTTTTAAAACATTTACATTACTTTTTGATAGGAAAAACGGAAACAAAAATATACTTTCGGAGAAATTTTCAAAGGTTCGATAGCGAAAGTAAGTATTCGGCGTCTTTTACGATACGCGGCACCACCACGTGGAGTTGGTGGTTCACGAGGTATAAAGCAAGCATTACTTGTTCGCTCATATTGTCGCAATCGCATCACGATCCATTCCTCCGTTGCAAGATCCAAGAAATCGTTCTTCTCACCTGCACCGAAATCAAATGTATTACTCAAAAGAAAAGTAGATAATGTATCAGAAGAACAATAAAATGAACTTCATAATCAACAATGACATTCAAAATTTACCGCACACAAAACAACAACAACAAATGCTAATCGGACTCCCGTATTTATTTCCTGTAGATGTGCTTATTAATCTCTGGTCAGGAGGTAAGAGTTCTTTCTGGCACCAACTGTGAAAAGAAAAAAGATGAACTGGCAAAAAAGTTTCAAAAGATGTTACTTGGTATGTAATAAGGTAGAGGTGTCCATTGGTAGCAGGACTTGATTCTCGTCAGTTCACCTTCTTCATTATGAGGGCGTTTCGCTGCAAATTTTGAAATTAGTTAAATCAGAAAATGGAGATTTGTTAAATTGCCAGTTAATATAGTATGAATATATTCGTAAATATACACAACAACACTACACTCAGTTACAAGACACAAACATATCAAAGAAAATCTTTATGATTCAAAAACTTCTATTAACAACAATGAGCAATATGATAAATTGTAATAATTTTTAATTAGATGACAGGCGCATTAATTCAAACTTCATTTTCAATGACTTATGTCAACACCACTTCCTAGAAGTGAATCCAATCCAAATGCCTTAAAACACACCATCACATTTATGATAGTGAAGAAGACTAAACCTTTCACTTTTTCATGACCCGTCCTGAGATGCTCTTCGAGTGAACGCTTTAATGTAAATCTTGACGAACAACCCTCTATGAGACACATATATGGTTGTGCTTTACCAGCATGTCGTGTTGTAAAATGTTCTTCCAACCAAATGAACTAAATAATAAGTTTTGACTTTTACAAATATTTGATAAAAAAAAATGTAATAGAAATCAAAAAATTGATAACATACATTAAATGGCAGTTTAACAGCGAATAATCCTCTACGTTATTTTTCATGCTTATACAACAAACAGCATAAAAGAAAGCACACCTGTTTTTGAAAGTCACCACGACTTAAACCCATCTTACAGTTCCCCCACTGGCACATCAAATTTTTTAACCGACCAGTAGTTTGTGATTGTAAACTGCCGCCGCCACTATTGCTGTCACTGTTACCATCCAAATGTGCTGAAGGCCGTAGCAATTCCAAATGATCCTAAAATATGTGTTATTTCTAAATGCGGTTTTTTGATTCCTTGCAGAATCTCTCAGTAATTTGAAAGTTAGCTTTATATCTCCACTTGGAAAAAAGTGTGCAATCTTGATTTTGTTTCTGACAGAAATTCGCCTAAAATCCTGCACAGCTTAACTAAGTAAGTCTTTCTTTTTAATAAGATGAATGAATTCAAATTTTTAGAAATTCTGCCTTGACAACATGATCGTAGAGGTCGTTGTCGCAAGCAAACCGTTCCGTGCAACTTTTCCAACGACAATGTACTCTTAACTCAAGCTCATTGATCTCTAAAGGCGAACTCCCAGAAAAAGAAGGGGCTGTTGAACATCTTGCAAGCGATTTTGTACTGTTGCCTAAAAAGAATTACGAATTTCAATCATGATATTTCAGCTACTAACAAAGTATAACATAAAGATACCGTAATACTAGCAAGCATTAATAATTTCGAATTCTTTTCCACCAATATCCTTTTCTTCTATTTCTTGGAAGTAATGAATTTACAACAAAAGTAGACCAATAAATTTTGGATAAACAAGTGAATTAGAAATTTCAGAAATTCTATTTTGACAACATGACCAAAGACGTTTTATCGTATGCAAACCGTTCTGTACAGCTTCGTTATTGGCACATATTAATATGAATTTTCACTTTTTATTATTATGTGCATTTGAATATAAATAAGTGCAACACCTAATCTAGCAGCGGATGAAATTCTCGAGTCCTGATTAATAGGAACATCAACTGCCAGTTGTAATGAAGACGATAGCGATGTTAATGAAGCTGTTTTCTTCAGAAGACATGCATCAAGACAAAAATTTTCATCTGCTTTCGCATCGGTACTAATCAAACTGACCGTACTGAATGTACTAATACCGCTAGACGTCCGGCTGATTGGTGACGACAAGGGCAAACATGACGGTTGACAAACTGACAGTGGACACTGTGACATAACTGAAAGAGAAAGAAACATGTGGGCAACATCAAAAGTGTAAAATGAAGATGCAAAATCCAGTCAATTATCATCACGATTCTTCCGGACAAATTTTAAATCCAGTTTTGTTAATTATAATTAAAT